TGTGTTTTATTGGGGTTTAGTGGGGTGTAATGGGGTTTCAGTTGGGTTTAATTTGCTTGAATTGGGGTTTAATGGGGGTTTAGTGGGTTGCAATGGGGTTTTTGTTGGGTTTTATTGGGGTTTAGTGGGGTGCAATGGGGGTTTAGTGGTGTTTTATCTGGGTTTACTGGGGTTTTATTGGGGTTTCACTGGGGCTTAGTGGGGTTTACTCTTCCTCTTCCTCCTCCTCCTCTTTTCCTCTTCCTTCTCTTTCTCCTGAGCTTCCTTGTCCTCCTCCTGCTCCCCTTCTTCCTTCCTAAATCCTTCTTATCCCAAATCTCCCACCACCCCGAGAATCGCCTCAGCCCCAAACCCCCAAATTTGGGATCTCCACCAGTACCTTTTAACCCCTTCTCTGCCGTTTTCCTGCGTTCCCGGCCTCGGGCTGGGAGCCATGCCGCGACACCCGCTGCGAGTTCTGCGGGGAATTCCTCGGGAACCCCATTTCCCTTATCCCACACCCCTTTCCCAGGAATCCTGACAGCCCCAAACCCCCAAATTTGGGATCATCCCCTCCACCAGCACCTTTTAACCCCTTCTCTCCCGCGTTCCCAGCCTCGGGCTCGGAGCCGTGCCGCGACATCCGCTGCGAGTTCTGCGGCGAGTTCTTTGAGAACCGCAAGGGGCTCTCGAGCCACGCGCGCTCGCACCTGCGCCAGATGGGGGTGACCGAGTGGTCGGTGAACGGCTCCCCCATCGACACCCTGCGCGAGATCCTCAGGAAGAAATCCAAGCCCTTCTTCGAGTTCTGCGGGGAATTCCCTGGGAACCCCCTCATCCCTTTCCCAGGAACCCCCTCAGTCCCAAACCCCCACCAGCACCCTTTAACCCCTTCTCTCCCGCGTTCCCAGCCTCGGGCTCGGAGCCGTGCCGCGACATCCGCTGCGAGTTCTGCGGCGAGTTCTTTGAGAACCGCAAGGGGCTCTCGAGCCACGCGCGCTCGCACCTGCGCCAGATGGGGGTGACCGAGTGGTACGTGAACGGCTCCCCCATCGACACCCTGCGCGAGATCCTCAGGAAGAAATCCAAGCCCTGCCTCATCAAGAAGGAGCCGCCGCTGCCGCCGGGGCTGGAGCCGGGCGCGGGGCTGGGCGAGGACGGCGCGGAGCCCAAAGCGCCGCCGGGGCCGGCTCCGGGCAAGGCGCTGCCCCCGGGGCTGGCCCTGGGCAAGCCGGGCTCGGGGCTGGCCCTGGCGCCGCTGGGCTCCAAGAACGCGCCCGGAGCCTTCCTGGCCGCCAAGAGGCCGCTGGGCGACGAGAGGCTGGGCGGGCACGGCGAGGCCAAGCACAAAGCCTTCGAGCTGGGCTTCAAGGCCAAGGCCCTGCACGACAAGGCCTGTGAGTGCCATGGGAAATCATGGGAATCTGGGGGTTTTGGGGTGTTTTTGGGGTGTTTTTGGGATGGGCTGGGCGGGCACGGCGAGGCCAAGCACAAAGCCTTCGAGCTGGGCTTCAAGGCCAAGGCCCTGCACGACAAGGCCTGTGAGTGCCGTGGGGATTCTTGGGGTTTTTGGGGTTTTGGGATGGTTTTTGGGGTGGTTTTGGGGTGGTCTGGCATCGCCTTCGAGCTGGGCTTCAAGGCCAAGGCCCTGCACGACAAGGCCTGTGAGTATTGAGGGAAAATCATGTGAATTTTGGGGTTTTGGAGTGTTTTTGGGATGGTTTTGGGATGGTTTTGGGATCTTTGGGATGGTTTTGGGATGGTTTTGGGAAGGGCTGGGCGGGCACGGCGAGGCCAAGCACAAAGCCTTCGAGCTGGGCTTCAAGGCCAAGGCCCTGCATGACAAGGCCTGTGAGTGCCATGGGGAAATCACAGGAATTTTGGGGTTTTGGGATGGTTTTGGGATCTTTGGGATGGTTTTGGGGTGTTTTTGGGAAGGGCTGGGCGGGCACGGCGAGGCCAAGCACAAAGCCTTCGAGCTGGGCTTCAAGGCCAAGGCCCTGCACGACAAGGCCTGTGAGTGCCATGGGAAATCATGGGAATCTGGGGGTTTTGGGGTGTTTTTGGGGTGTTTTTGGGATGGGCTGGGCGGGCACGGCGAGGCCAAGCACAAAGCCTTCGAGCTGGGCTTCAAGGCCAAGGCCCGCGACATCCGCTGGCTTGGGGCTCATCCCAGGGATTTTGGGATGCTCTGAGCTCCTCCCAAAGATTTAGGGACCCAAAATCCCACCCAGGGGTTTCCATCCCTCCCTAATCCCAGATTTCCCCTCCTGGCAGCCTCTCGGGCGGACCCGGTTCACGACATCCAATGGTTTAGTGATCATCCCGGGGATTTTGGGATGCTCTGAGCTCCTCCCAAAGATTTAGGGACCCAAAATCCCACCCAGGGGTTTCCATCCCTCCCTAATCCCAGATTTCCCCTCCTGGCAGCCTCTCGGGCGGACCCGGTTCACGACATCCAATGGTTTAGTGATCATCCCGGGGATTTTGGGATGCTCTGAGCTCCTCCCAGGGATTTAGGGACCCAAAATCCCATCCCGGGGGTTCCATCCCTCCCTAATCCCAGATTTCCCCTCCCGGCAGCCTCGCGGGCGGACCCGGTGCGCGACATCCGCTGCGAGTTCTGCGGCGAGTTCTTTGAGAACCGCAAGGGGCTCTCGAGCCACGCGCGCTCGCACCTGCGCCAGATGGGGGTGACCGAGTGGTCGGTGAACGGCTCCCCCATCGACACCCTGCGCGAGATCCTCAGGAAGAAATCCAAGCCCTGCCTCATCAAGAAGGAGCCGCCGCTGCCGCCGGGGCTGGAGCCGGGCGCGGGGCTGGGCGAGGACGGCGCGGAGCCCAAAGCGCCGCCGGGGCCGGCTCCGGGCAAGGCGCTGCCCCCGGGGCTGGCCCTGGGCAAGCCGGGCTCGGGGCTGGCCCTGGCGCCGCTGGGCTCCAAGAACGCGCCCGGAGCCTTCCTGGCCGCCAAGAGGCCGCTGGGCGACGAGAGGCTGGGCGGGCACGGCGAGGCCAAGCACAAAGCCTTCGAGCTGGGCTTCAAGGCCAAGGCCCTGCACGACAAGGCCTGTGAGTGCCATGGGAAATCATGGGAATCTGGGGGTTTTGGGGTGTTTTTGGGGTGTTTTTGGGATGGGCTGGGCGGGCACGGCGAGGCCAAGCACAAAGCCTTCGAGCTGGGCTTCAAGGCCAAGGCCCTGCACGACAAGGCCTGTGAGTGCCGTGGGGATTCTTGGGGTTTTTGGGGTTTTGGGATGGTTTTTGGGGTGGTTTTGGGGTGGTCTGGCATCGCCTTCGAGCTGGGCTTCAAGGCCAAGGCCCTGCACGACAAGGCCTGTGAGTGCCGTGGGGATTCTTGGGGTTTTTGGGGTTTTGGGATGGTTTTTGGGGTGGTTTTGGGGTGGTCTGGCATCGCCTTCGAGCTGGGCTTCAAGGCCAAGGCCCTGCACGACAAGGCCTGTGAGTGCCGTGGGGATTCTTGGGGTTTTTGGGGTTTTGGGATGGTTTTTGGGGTGGTTTTGGGGTGGTCTGGCATCGCCTTCGAGCTGGGCTTCAAGGCCAAGGCCCTGCACGACAAGGCCTGTGAGTATTGAGGGAAAATCATGTGAATTTTGGGGTTTTGGAGTGTTTTTGGGATGGTTTTGGGATGGTTTTGGGATCTTTGGGATGGTTTTGGGATGGTTTTTGGGGTGGTTTTGATGTGGTCTGGGAGCACCTTTGAGCTGGGCTTCAAGGCCAAGGCCCTGCACGACAAGGCCTGTGAGTGCCATGGGGAAATCACGGGAATTTGGGGAATTTGGGATCTTTGGGATGGTTTTGGGGAGGTTGGCATAATTTTGTGACATCCTTAGCATGTCTTTTGCATGGCCTGGCAGCACATGTTTTTTTCTCTTTTTCCCCCCTTTTTTTTTCTCCCGTTTTCCCCTCTTTTTTCCCCCACATGTTTTTTTTCATTTTTCCCTTTTTTTTCTCCATTTTACCCATTTTTTCCCCATTTTTCCATGTCCTCCCTACTGCGAGCTGTGCGGGCTGTACTTTGAGAACATCCCAGCCCTGCCCAGCCACGCCCGGGCGCACCTGCGGCACCTTGGGCAGTGCCCCTACCCCTTTTTCTCTATTTTAACCCAATTTTAATCCTGTTTTTCCCCTTTTTTCTCTATTCTAACCCAATTTCAATCCCGTTTTTCCCCATTTTCTGTGTCTCCCAGCAGCAGAGGCCTGCTGCGAGCTGTGCGGGCTGTACTTTGAGAACATCCCAGCCCTGCCCAGCCACGCCCGGGCGCACCTGCGGCACCTTGGGCAGTGCCCCTACCCCATTTTCCCTATTCTAACCCAATTTTAATCCCATTTTTTCCTGTTTTTCCCAATTTCAATCCCATTTTCCCTGTTTCCCAGCAGCAGAGGCCTGCTGCGAGCTGTGCGGGCTGTACTTTGAGAACATCCCAGCTCTGCCCAGCCACGCCCGGGCGCACCTGCGGCACCTTGGGCAGTGCCCCTACCCCATTTTCCCTATTCTAACCCCATTTTTATCCCGTTTTTCCCCATTTTCTGTGTCTCCCAGCAGCAGAGGCCTGCTGCGAGCTGTGCGGGCTGTACTTTGAGAACAGGAAGGCGCTGGCCAGCCACGCCCGGGCGCACCTGCGGCAGTTCGGCGTCACCGAGTGGTGCGTGAACGGCTCCCCCATCGAGACGCTGCGCGAGTGGATCCGGCACCGGCCGCACAAGGCGGGCGCCTACCGCAGCTACATCCAGGGCGGGCGCCCCTTCTCCAAGAAGTTCCGGAGCTCGGCGCACCCCCGGGAGCCCCGCGGCGCCCTGGCCGTGCCCTTCCTGCCCAAGGGCGGGCTGGCGGCCGAGGCGGCGCTGGGCGACTGCGGGAAGGGCCCCGAGGGCGCCGAGAGGGGCCTGGGGACCCCCCTGGGGGTGGTCAAGGTGGAGGAGCAGAGGGGCAACTTCAGCAGTGAGTGGGGGGATTGGGAGAATGGGAATTGGGGGGGTTTGGGAATGGGGAATGGGAATGGGAAATGTGGGGTTTGGGAATGGGGAATGGGAATGGGAATGGGAATGGGAATGGGAATGGGGAATGGGAATGGGAATGGGAATGAGGAGCGGTCAGGGTGGAGGAGCAGAGGGGCAACTTCAGCAGTGAGTGGGGGGATGGGGAGAATGGGAATTGGGGGGTTTGGGGTGGGAAATGGGGGGTTTGGGGTGGATAAATTGGGGTTTGGGAATGGGAATGGGAATGGGAATGGAAATGGGGAATGGGAATGAGGAGTGGGAATGGGAATTGGAATGGGAATGAGGAGTGGTCAGGGTGGAGGAGCAGAGGGGCAACTTCCGCAGTGAGTGGGGGGATTGGGAGAATGGGAATTGGGGGTTTGGGAATGGGGACAGGACTGGGGAATTGGGGATGGGATGGGATGGGAATGGCCTTGGGAGTGGGGATGTGAAATTGGGAATGGGAATGGGAATGGGAATAGGGACAGGAATGGGAATGGGATTGGGGAATGGAATGGGATTGGGGAATGGGAATGGGGGTGTGAAATTGGGAATGGGGACAGGGACAGGATTGGGAATGAGAATGGGAATGGGGAATTTGGGATGGTGATGGGAATGGGGAATGGGAATGGGAGTGGGGATGTGAAACTGGGAATGGGAACAGGACTGGGGAACTGGGACGGGAATGGGGACAGGAATGGGGAATTGGGGATGGGAATGGGGAATTGGGGATGGGGACAGGAATGGGGAATTGGGGACAGGAATGGGAATGGGGACAGGGAATGGGGAATTGGGGACAGGATTGGGGACAGGGACTGGGGTCTCCAAGGTGACCAGAGCTGTGCCTGGGACCCCGCCAGGCCCCCCCAGTTCCCAACCCCTGCCGCCCATCCCGCAGAGTTCGAGCGGCGCCAGGCGCGGCCCCTGGAGCCGCCGCTGCCGCGCGACGCCGAGCCCGGCGCCGACTTCCCGCGGAAGCTTCCGGAGCCGCGGCCGCCGCCGCGCGTGCGCCCGGTGCCCGCGCTGGTGCCGCGCCCGCCGCAGACCTCGCTGGTCAAGTTCGTGGGCAACATCTACACCCTCAAGTGCAGGTGGGACTGGGGGCAATTTCCCGATTTCCCAGCCTTTTTTGGGGTGTTTTTCCCGATTTTCCCCGCTCTTCCCTCCCTGGTTTTGGCGCTTTTCCCCCCTTTTCCTTCATTTCCCCCTTTTCCTGCTCTTCCCTCCCTCGTTTTGGCTCTTTTTCTGCATTTCCCCCCTTTTCCTGTGCTTCCATCCCTGTTTTTGGCTCTTCTCCCCCTTTTTTCTGCTCTTCCCTCCCTGTTTTTGGCTCTTTTTCCCCCTTTTTCCTCACCTCTCTCCCATTTTTGGGACTTTTCCCCCCTTTTCCCACTCCCCCATCCCACTTTTTGGAGGGATGCTCAAGTGACACCCTCAAGTGCAGGTGGGACTGGGGGCAATTTCCCAATTTCCCAGCCTTTTTTGGGGTATTTTCCCCGCTCTTCCCTCCCTGGTTTTGGCGCTTCCCCCCCCTTTTCCTTCATTTCCCCCTTTTCCTGCTCTTCCCTCCCTGGTTTTGGCTCTTTTCCCCCTTTTCCTGCTCTTCCCTCCCTGCTTTTGGCTCTTTTCCCCCCTTTTCCTGCTCTTCCCTCCCTGGTTTTGGCTCTTTCCCCCCTTTTCCTGCTTTTCCTTTTCTGTTTTTGGCTATTTTCCTGCATTTCCTCCCTTTCCCTGTGCTTCCATCCCTGTTTTTGGCTCTTCTCCCCCTTTTTCCTGCTCTTCCCTCCCTGTTTTTGGCTCTTTTTCCCCCTTTTTCCTCACCTCTCTCCCATTTTTGGGACTTTTCCCCCCTTTTCCCACTCCCCCATCCCAGTTTTTGGAGGGATGCTCAAGTGACACCCTCAAGTGCAGGTGGGACTGGGGGCAATTTCCCGATTTCCCAGCCTTTTTTGGGGTGTTTTTCCCGATTTTCCCCACTCTTCCCTCCCTATTCTTTGCTCTTTCCCCTGCCCTTTTCCTGCTGAAACCTGGGAATTCCTGCCCAAAATCTGGGAATTCCTCCTGAAACGTGGGAATTCCTCCAGGAATTCTTCCCAAAATCCAGGAATTCTCCCCGAAACCCCGGAATTGGCTCTTTTCCCCCTTTTCCTGCTCTTCCCTCCCTGCTTTTGGCTCTTTTCCCCCCTTTTCCTGCTCTTCCCTCCCTGGTTTTGGCTCTTTCCCCCCTTTTCCTGCTTTTCCTTTTCTGTTTTTGGCTATTTTCCTGCATTTCCTCCCTTTCCCTGTGCTTCCATCCCTGTTTTTGGCTCTTCTCCCCCTTTTTCCTGCTCTTCCCTCCCTGCCGCGGAAGCTTCCGGAGCCGCGGCCGCCGCCGCGCGTGCGCCCGGTGCCCGCGCTGGTGCCGCGCCCGCCGCAGACCTCGCTGGTCAAGTTCGTGGGCAACATCTACACCCTCAAGTGCAGGTGGGACTGGGGGAGATTCCTGATTCCCCAGCCTTTTTTGGGGTGTTTTTCCTGATTTTCCCCGCTCTTCCCTCCCTGGTTTTGGCGCTTTTCCCCCCTTTTCCTTCATTTCCCCCTTTTCCTGCTCTTCCCTCCCTCGTTTTGGCTCTTTTTCTGCATTTCCCCCCTTTTCCTGTGCTTCCATCCCTGTTTTTGGCTCTTCTCCCCCTTTTTCCTGCTCTTCCCTCCCTGGTTTTGGCTCTTTCCCCCCTTTTTCCTCACCTCTCTCCCATTTTTGGCTCTTTTCCCCCTTTTTCCTCACCTCTCTCCCATTTTTGGGACTTTTCCCCCCTTTTCCCACTCCCCCATCCCAGTTTTTGGAGGGATGCTCAAGTGACACCCTCAAGTGCAGGTGGGACTGGGGGCAATTTCCCGATTTCCCAGCCTTTTTTGGGGTGTTTTTCCCGATTTTCCCCACTCTTCCCTCCCTATTCTTTGCTCTTTCCCCTGCCCTTTTCCTGCTGAAACCTGGGAATTCCTGCCCAAAACCTGGGAATTCCTGCCCAAAATCTGGGAATTCCTCCTGAAACGTGGGAATTCCTCCAGGAATTCTTCCCAAAATCCAGGAATTCTCCCCGAAACCCCGGAATTCCTGCCCCAAACCCAGGAATTCCTGCCCCAAACCCCGGGATTCTCCCCCAAACCCCGGAATTCCTGCCCCAAACCTGGGAATTCCTCCCCAAAACCCCGGAATTCCTGCCCCAAACCTGGGAATTCCTCCCCAAAACCCCGGAATTCCTGCCCCAAACCTGGGAATTCCTCCCCAAAACCCCGGAATTCCTGCCCCAAACCTGGGAATTCCTCCCCAAAACCCCGGAATTCCTGCCCCAAACCTGGGAATTCCTCCCCAAAACCCCGGAATTCCTCCCAAAATGTGGGAATTCCTGCCCCACACCTCGGGATTCTCCCCCAAAATCCTGGAATTCCTGTCCAAAACCCCAGAATTCCTCCCGAAATGTGGGAATTCCTGCCCCAAACCCCGGAATTCCTGCCCCAAACCTGGGAATTCCTGCCCCAAACCCCGGAATTCCTCCCGAAATGTGGGAATTCCCGCCCCAAGCCCCGGAATTCCTCCCGAAGTTGGGAATTGCGCTGCCGTTGCAGGTTCTGCGAGGTGCAGTTCCAGGGCCCGCTGTCCATCCAGGAGGAGTGGGTGCGGCACCTGCAGCGCCACATCCTGGACATGAACTTCTCCAAGGCGGATCCCTGCCGGAGCGAGGCCCCCCCGGAGCCCCCCGCCCTGGCCGAGGCTCCCTGAATTTTCCCAAAATCTGGGAAGAAAAAAAAAAAAAAAAACCAACAACAAAAACCCAACCGTAAAACAAACAAAAAAAAAACAACAAACCCCCACAAAGCCCCCCGGGAGCGGCGGGGGGCTCCGGGCGGGGGGCGCCGGCCCCGGGCTGGGGCAGCCACAAGCACTACAGGAGCTCGGGAATCCCGGGAAAACCCTGGGAAAACCCTGGGAAAACCTCGGGAAACCCCCCGGGAAACCCCCGGGAAACCCCCCGGGAAACCCCCGGGAAACCCCCGGGAAACCCCCGGGAGGGAGAGGGGCTGGCACCGGGAATTCCTCCCTTCCCTCCCCGGGAAAAGAACAAAACTCCCTTTTTTTATCCCAAAGAACCGGCGGCGCCGCCCGGGGAGGGAATTCCCGGCCATTCCCGGGGGAAACGCTGTGGATTTTGTACATTTGGACCCTGGCAGAGTTGTAAATTCCTCATTTTTTTCCCCTTTTTTTTTTTTTTTTTTTTTTTTAGTGGCTACGTAGATGTCGGAATTCCCTCAGTTCCGGGGTTGCATGTTCCCAAAATTCCCACTTTTCCCAAGGAAATCCAGCGGGAATCCCCAAAATTCCGGGAGGATTCGGCTCCGTTTTTTTTCCCCAAATTCCCTTTTTTTTTTTTCTCCTTGGTTTTATTCCCATTTTTCCCCCCCCCATCCTGATTTTTTAAACTAGATTTGTGTAGAAAGCAAAGGAAAAAATAAAAAAGATCCCTTTTTATTATTTGGGAATCCCGAAACTTCCGGATTTCGGAAGGAATTTTAACGGAGAAATATTTTGGGTTTTTTTTTCCTGGTTTTGGTTTTTTTTCCTTTTTTTTTTTTTTTTTATTTCCACGTTTTTCGGGACGTTTCTGGCGATTCCTGTACCCGGGACTGGGGGACGATGAATTAAATTCTTCTGGAGATGAATTCCCGGGAAAAACGGAGTCTCTGCATGCCTGGCCTGGGGAATTTGGGGGAATTCCAGGGGAATTTGGGGAAAATCGGGGAGATTTGGGGAAATTCCGGGGAGATTTGGGAGAATTCCAGGGAAATCCAGGGAAATTTGGGGAAAATCCAGGGAAATTTGGGGGAATTCCAGGGAAATATGGGGAAATTTGGGGGAAATCTCAGAAAATTTGGGGAAAATCCAGGGAAATTTGGGGAAATTCAGGGAGGTTTGGGGGAATTCCATGGAAATTTGACAAAATCCGGGGAAATCTGGGGAGATTTGGGAGAATTCCGGGGAAATTCAGGGGGATTTGGGGGAAATTTGGGGAAATTCAGAGGAAATTGGGAGAATTCCAGGGAAATTTGGGGAAATTCAGGGGGATTTGGGGGAAATTCCAGGGAAATTTTGTGGAAATCTGAGGAAATTTGGGGGAAATCCAAGGAAATTTTGGGAAATTCCAGGGAAATTTGGGGAAAATCCAGAAAACTTTGAGGGAAATCCAAGAGGATTTGGGGGAATTCCAGGGAAATTTTGGAAAATCCAGAAAAAATTGAGGGAAATTTTGGGGAAATCCAAGGAAATTTTGGGAAATTCCAGAAAACTTTGAGGGAAATTTTGGGGAAATCCAAGTCCAGGAGGATTTGGGAAAATCCCGGGAAATTTGGGGGCAATCCAGGGACATCTGGGAGAATTCCGGGGAGATTTAGGGGAATTTCAGGGGGATTTGGGGGAATTCCAGGGAAATTTGAGGAAATTCTGGGGGATTTGGTGGAAATTTGGGGAAAATCCTGGGAAATTTGGGGAAATCCAGGGAAATTTGGGGACAAGGATGGGGATTTGGGATTTGAGGACGAGGATTTGGGATGGGGATTTGGGGTTGTCATTTGGGACACGACATGGATTGGGATTTGGGGTCGTTATTTGGGATTTGGGGACATTGGGATGGGGATTTGGGGTCATTTGGGACACTGGGGAAATGGATTGGGATTTGGGGTCATTATTTGGGATTTGGGGACACTGGGATGGGGGACACTGGGGACCCTGGGATGGGGATTTGGGGTCATTATTCGGGATTGGGGATTTGGGGACACTGGGACGGGGATTCAGGGTCGTTCTTTGGGGTCGGTGTTTGGGGTCGTTCTTTGGGGTTCGGGGTCGTTCTTTGGGGTCGATCTTTGGGGTTTGGGGTCGTTCTTTGGGGTCGTTCTTTGGGGTCCGGGGTCGGTGTTTGGGGTCGGTGTTTGGGGTCCGGGGTCGTTCTTTGGGGTCGATCTTTGGGGTCCGGGGTCTCCCTCCCATGACCCCGCCGCTGTCCCCGCGTCCCCCACGTGACAAACACGTGACAGGCGCCGCACGTGACAAGCACGTGACCCCCGGTGACACCGCACGGCCGCGAGCGGCCACGTGAGGGCGCCCCAGGGGGCGTGGCCTCAGTGGAGATAGCCAATAGCAGCCGGCGATGCGGCGAGGGGGCGTGGCCAGAGGCGCGCCTGTCACGCGATAGGTCCTCAGCCGGCTTAGCTGACCAATGGGACAGCAGAGCGGAGGAAGCCACGCCTCCTCATCGAGCAGACTTTCACTTTAACCAATCGCGTAGCGGGAAACCCGATGAGCGACAGCAGCCGCCTACCAATGGGAGGTGTGAACCGCGCGGACCAATCAGCGCGGGAGAGGCGGAGCGCTGCGGCCAATCAGCGCGAGGGGGCGGGGCCGGCGCGGCGCCGTTACCGCCCGGGAAAGGGGAGGAGGCGCCGCCATCATGAGCTACGGTGAGGGGAGGGGGCGGCACCGGGACGGGAGCGACCGCGGGCACCGGGACCGGGAGGGGCCGGCGGGGTCCCTGAGGGGCTGGCGGGGTCGGTGAGGAGCGGGAGCCCTGAGGGGCGGCGGGATCCGTGAGGGCCGGCGGGTCTGTGAGGGGCGGCGGGATCCTTGAGAGGCCGGCGGGTCGGTGAGGGGCGGGAACCGTGAGGGGCGGCGGGCTCCGTGAGGGACCCCTGGGGTCGGTGAGGAGCGGGGTCCGTGAGGGACCGGCGGGGTCGGGGGGGGGGGGGGGGGGGCGGGAGTCCGGTGGGGCACGGCGGGGTCCGTGAGGGGAGAGCGGAGGGAGAGGGAACGGGGAGGGTCCCTGAGAGACCGGGGGGACACCGGGAGATTGGGGGGTTCGTGAGGGACCGGGGACGTCCCTGAGGGACCGGGGGGTGATCGTGAGGGACCGGGGGTGACCGAGAGGGACCGGGGAGACACCGGGACACGGGGATGTCCGTGAGGGGAGCGGGGGGAAACCGGGACCGGGGGGTTACCGAGACATGGAGGGGGACCGTGAGGGACACCGGGGGTGACCGGGAGGGCACCGCGACATGGATGGGGGCTGAGGGACCAGGCACGTTGAGGGGACACCGGGACACGGAGATGTCCGTGAGGGGAGCGGGAGGATACCGGGACCGGGGGTGACCGTGAGGGACCGGGGGACACCGGGACATGGAGGGGGACCCTGAGGGACCCGGGGTGACCGGGAGGGACCGAGGGACACCGGGACCGGGGGTGTCCGGGAGGGACCGGGAGGTTCCGGGACCTTGTGGGGACACCGGGACCGGGGATGTCCTGAGGGACCGGGGGTGTCCGGGAGGGACCGTCAAATTTTGTAGGGGGGCGGCCGGAGCCACCGGGGGCACCGGGACAGCCCCAATTGCCGGGACTTGGCTCCCAAAACCGGGATTGGATCCCAAAACCGGGATTTGCTCCCTGTCCAGCCCCGTTGCCTCTCCCGGTCCCGCTCCCGGGAATTCCCGGTTCCATCCCAGCCCGGGTTTATTCCCGGCCCGACCCCTCCCGAGCCGTTTTAATCCCATTTTTTCTCATTTTTATCCCATTTTTTCTCATTTTAATCCCATTTTTTCCCGTTTTTATCCCATTTTTTCTCATTTTTATCCCATTTTTTCTCATTTTAATCCCATTTTTTCCCGTTTTTATCCCATTTTTTCTCATTTTTATCCCATTTTTTCTCATTTTAATCCCATTTTTTCCCGTTTTTATCCCATTTTTTCTCATTTTTATCCCGTTTTTTCTCATTTTAATCCCATTTTTTCTCGTTTTCATCCCATTTTCCCCCGTTTCTCCCGGAATCCCGTCCCGTTCCCTCACCTGGGACACACCTGGAGGGGCGGGGCAGCGATTCCCGCAATATTCCAGGAGAATTCCCACCCCGAGGGAGCGCCCAAACCCCTTAATTGGGCTTTTGTGCTAATGAGGAGCCGCTAATTAGAGCCGAAATTCCACTGGGGAATGAGGGAACAGCAGGAACAGGATCCAACTCCCTTTTCTTTCCCTATTTTCCCCCTGGTTTTCCCGATTTTTCCCATTTTTTCCCCCCGTTCTTTCCCACTTTCCCCTATTTTTTTCCCATTTCCCCCCATTTTTTCCCAATTCTTTCTCAGCATTTCCCATTTTTCCCCATTTTCTCCCTTTTCCCCCAAGTTTTCCCCATTTTTCCCATTTTTTTCCTGTTTTCCCCTGGTTTTCCCCATATTTTCCCATCTCTCCCAATTTTTTTCGATTTTCTCCTAATTTTCTCCCATTCTTTCCCATTTCCCCCCGTTTTTTCCCATTTTTTCCCATTTTTTCCCACTTTCATCCCAAATTCCCCATTCCCAGGGTACGAGGGCTATGGCTACGGCTACGGCTACGGCCAGGAGGGCTCCGGGGGCTTCGGCTTCGGCGGCGCCGCCGGGAATTCCTGGGATTTGGGGAATTCTGAGCCCGACGGGGCCCCCGAGGGCGGCGACGGCCCCGGGAAGCAGCGGCAGGAAGCGGGAGCCGGGATCCACGGCGAGGCCGAGGGGCTGCAGGGACGGGGCTACGGGGCTGCATCCCATTTTCCCCCGTTTCTCCCGGAATCCCGTCCCGTTCCCTCACCTGGGACACACCTGGAGGGGCGGGGCAGCGATTCCCGCAATATTCCAGGAGAATTCCCACCCCGAGGGAGCGCCCAAACCCCTTAATTGGGCTTTTGTGCTAATGAGGAGCCGCTAATTAGAGCCGAAATTCCACTGGGGAATGAGGGAACAGCAGGAACAGGATCCAACTCCCTTTTCTTTCCCTATTTTCCCCCTGGTTTTCCCGATTTTTCCCATTTTTTCCCCCCGTTCTTTCCCACTTTCCCCTATTTTTTTCCCATTTCCCCCCATTTTTTCCCAATTCTTTCTCAGCATTTCCCATTTTTCCCCATTTTCTCCCTTTTCCCCCAAGTTTTCCCCATTTTTCCCATTTTTTTCCTGTTTTCCCCTGGTTTTCCCCATATTTTCCCATCTCTCCCAATTTTTTTCGATTTTCTCCTAATTTTCTCCCATTCTTTCCCATTTCCCCCCGTTTTTTCCCATTTTTTCCCATTTTTTCCCACTTTCCCGTCGTTTTTTTCCTACTTTTTCACCGTTTTTCCCACTTTTCCCCATTTCCCCCATATTTTCCCATTTTTCCCCAATTTTTTCCCATTTTTCCCTCATTTTTTCCCCCTTTTCCCCCAATTTCCCCCAGTTTCTCAGCAGGAATTTCCCTTTCCTGACAATCCCCAAATCCCCAGGGCAGGGAATCCTTTCAGGCTTGGGTGGAAATTTGGGATTTGGGGGGAATTTGGGGGATTTTGGGAGCCTAACTGGGATTTTGCTGTTTTTTAGGGTACGGAGATTGGAATTCAGGCTCGAGCAGAGGCAAGTGTGGGAATTTCCTCCCTGGATCCATCCCCAGATCCCTCGGGAAGCTCCCACCTCTCCTTTCCCAAATTTTAGCCCCAAATTCCCGCCGGATCCAACAAAAAAATCGGCATTTTTGGGACGGGGAAACGGCTCAGAGTTCAAAATTGGGGGATTTTTGGGATCCCTTCAGCCAAAATTCCGTGGGAACGATCCCAAATTCCATGGGAACGATCCCAAATTCCATGGGAATGATCTCAAATTTTGTAGGAATGACCCCAAATTCCATGGGATGGATTCCAAATTCCATGGGAATGATCTCAAATTCTATGGGAATTTGAGGGAAGAATTCCAGGGGTGATCCCAAATTCAATGGGAATGATCCCAAATTCCGTGGGAATTAAATGGAAATGATCCCAGATTCTGTGGGAATTAATTGGGAATGATCCCAAATTCCGTTGGAATTAACTGGGAACGATCCAAAATTCCTTGGGAAGGTTCCCAAATTCCATGGGAATTAACTGTGAATGATCCCAGATTCCGTGGGAACGATCCCAAATTCCTGGTAAATCCCAAATTCCCAGTAAATCCCGGGACTCTCTGGAATTCCCGGTGAATCCCAGAGCTCTCCCAAATTCCCAGTGAATCCCGGTAAATCCTGAATTCCCAGTAAATCCTGGGATTCTCCTGAATTTCTGGTGAATCCTGAATTTCTGGTAAATCCCAGTAAATCCTGGAGCTCTCCCAAATTCCCACTGAGTCCCAAATTCCCGGTGAATCCTGGTAAATCCTGAATTCTTCTTGAATCCTGGAGCTCTCTGGAATTCCTGGTAAATCCTGAATTCCTGATGAATCCCAGTAAATCCTGAATTCCTAATGAATCCCGGTAAATCCCGAAGTCCTGGTAAATCCCAGTAAATCCTGAATTCCCGGTGAATTCCCGGTGAATCCCGAATTCCCGGTAATTCCCAGTACATCCTGGAGCTCTCCCGAATTCCCAGTGAATCCCGAATTCCCGGTAAATCCCAAATTCCCCGTTCCCAGGGTACGAGGGCTATGGCTACGGCTACGGCTACGGCCAGGAGGGCTCCGGGGGCTTCGGCTTCGGCGGCGCCGCCGGGAATTCCTGGGATTTGGGGAATTCCGAGCCCGACGGGGCCCCCGAGGGCGGCGACGGCCCCGGGAAGCAGCGGCAGGAAGCGGGAGCCGGGATCCACGGCGAGGCCGAGGGGCTGCAGGGACGGGGCTACGGGGCTGCCCCCGAGAGGTGGGAATGTGGGAATGTGGGATTGGGAATGGGAATGGGGGATTGGGAATGGGAGATTGGGAATGGGGGATTGGGATCCACGGCGAGGCCGAGGGGCTGTTTTCGATTTTCTCCTAATTTTCTCCCATTCTTTCCCATTTCCCCCCGTTTTTTCCCATTTTTTCCCATTTTTTCCCACTTTCCCGTCGTTTTTTTCCTACTTTTTCACCGTTTTTCCCACTTTTCCCCATTTCCCCCATATTTTCCCATTTTTCCCCAATTTTTTCCCAGAGGATTGGGAACAGGGGAATGGGAATGAGGTGGGGGTGGGAATGGGAAAACGGGAACGCAAACAGAAACGGGAAAATGAGAACGGGAGTGGGAAAATGGAATGAGAATGGGGAAATGGGAACAGGGGAGTGGGAATGGGGGATTATCCTGAAAAATCCAGAATTTGAGATTTGGGGTTGCAGGGTGGTTGGGCTTGGATCCCGGGGAGCGGGTTTTTCCCACTTTTCCCCATTTCCCCCATATTTTCCCATTTTTCCCCAATTTTTTCCCATTTTTCCCTCATTTTTTCCCCCTTTTCCCCCAATTTCCCCCAGTTTCTCAGCAGGAATTTCCCTTTCCTGACAATCCCCAAATCCCCAGGGCAGGGAATCCTTTCAGGCTTGGGTGGAAATTTGGGATTTGGGGGGAATTTGGGGGATTTTGGGAGCCTAACTGGGATTTTGCTGATTTTTAGGGTACGGAGATTGGAATTCAGGCTCGAGCAGAGGCAAGTGTGGGAATTTCCTCCCTGGATCCATCCCCAGATCCCTCGGGAAGCTCCCACCTCTCCTTGAGTGGGAATGGGAATGGGGGATTATCCTGAAAAATCCAGAATTTGAGATTTGGGGTTGCAGGGTGGTTGGGCTTGGATCCCGGGGAGCGGGAAAGGGATGGGAAGTGGGAAAAGGGGATGGGAAATGGGGAATCCTAACTGGGATTTTGCTGATTTTTAGGGTACGGAGATTGGAATTCAGGCTCGAGCAGAGGCAAGTGTGGGAATTTCCTCCCCCTGGATCCCCCTGGATCCATCCCCAGATCCCTCGGGAAGCTCCCACCTCTCCTTTCCCAAATTTTAGCCCCAAATTCCCGCCGGATCCAACAAAAAAATCGGCATTTTTGGGACGGGGAAACGGCTCAGAGTTCAAAATTGGGGGATTTTTGGGATCCCTTCAGCCAAAATTCCGTGGGAACGATCCCAAATTCCATGGGAACGATCCCAAATTCCATGGGAATGATCTCAAATTTTGTAGGAATGACCCCAAATTCCATGGGAAGGATTCCAAATTCCATGGGAATGATCTCAAATTCTATGGGAATTTGAGGGAAGAATTCCAGGGGTGATCCCAAATTCAATGGGAATGATCCCAAATTCCGTGGGAATTAAATGGAAATGATCCCAGATTCTGTGGGAATTAATTGGGAATGATCCCAAATTCCGTTGGAATTAACTGGGAACGATCCAAAATTCCTTGGGAAGGTTCCCAAATTCCATGGGAATTAACTGTGAATGATCCCAGATTCCGTGGGAACGATCCCAAATTCCTGGTAAATCCCAAATTCCCAGTAAATCCCGGGACACTCTGGAATTCCTGGTGAATCCCAGAGCTCTCCCAAATTCCCAGTGAATCCCGGTAAATCCTGAATTCCCAGTAAATCCTGGGATTCTCCTGAATTTCTGGTGAATCCTGAATTTCTGGTAAATCCCAGTAAATCCTGGAGCTCTCCCAAATTCCCACTGAGTCCCAAATTCCCGGTGAATCCTGGTAAATCCTGAATTCCTGGAGGGTGGGAAAAGGGGCTGGAGAAGGAGGCCCTCAAATTCTGGGACCCGTTTTTTGGGAATAAAGGAGATCCCGATCCTTCAGACCCTTTTTCTTGGAAATCCCCAACCCTTGAAACCATTTCTTTGGGAATTCCCAAAACACCCCCCTCCAACCCCTCACGGCTAAAACCCCAGAATTCCCAAATTCCCCCCCTCAGGTACGATCCCTACGAATCCTACGGCGACTCCCGCGTGAACGACCACCGGGATCTGTACCGGGCAGCCTTCGACTACCCCGGCGATTATCCCGGCGATTATCCCGGCGATTACCCCAACGATTACCCCAACGATTACCCCAGTGATTATCCTGATTACCCCAACGATTACCCCAACGATTATCCCGACTATCCCAACGATTATCCCGGCGATTTTCCCAACGAATCCGAGCCCGACGCCAACGACTTCTACGGCCGGCCCCACCCGCGGGAGCAATTCCAGGGCAAATTCCGGGAAGGCTTCGGGCCCCGGGGGGGCTGGGGGGGCCGGGAGCGGGGCTTCCCGGGGTTCCCGGCCCGGGGGGGCTGGGCCGAGCCCCGGGGGCCGCCCCGGCGCCTCCCGTCGCTCTTCTCGCACAACATCCTGCCCGAGCCCGGCGCCTTCCGCGGCTTCCCCGGCGCCTTCCGCGGCCTCAAGAGGATGAGGAGGGGCTGGAGGGTCTGGGATGCCGAGCTCAGGGTGAGTCGGGGGCGGTGCCGGGCCTTTGCCCTGATTTCCCTGCGTTTCCCGTGGTTTTCCCGTGCTAATTCCATCATAATTCCTTGGTTTTCCGTGATAATTCCATGATAATTCCTTGGTTTGCCATGACAATTCCGTGGTTTTCCATGATAATTCCATGCATTTCCATGGTTTTTCATAAGTTTTTCATAATTTTTCCATGTTTTTTTCATGATTTTCCATAGTTCTCCTCCATAGTTTTTCCATGGTTTATCTGTGGTTTTCCATGACGATTCCATGGTTTTCCATGACAATTCCTTGGTTCTCCATGATAACTCCATGATTTTCCATGTTTTTTTCATGAGTTTTTCATCATTTTTCCATGATTTTCCATAGTTTTTCCATGATTTTCCATAGTTTTCCTCTGTGGTTTTTCCATGATTTAGCTATGGTTTTCCATGAGAATTCCTTGGTTTTTCCATGAATTTTCCATTATTTTTCCATGACTTCCCGTGTGTTTCCCTCAATTTTTCCTCCAAGTTTTCCTCCAATTTTCCCCCCAATTTCCCCCCAATTTTCCCTATTTTTTCTCATTTTCCCCCAATTTCCCCCCAATTTTCTCCCAATTTCTCCCTTAATTTTCTCCCAATTTTCCCCTGATTGTCCCCCAATTTCCCCCAATTTTCCCTATTTTTTTCTCATTTTCCCCCAATTTCCCCTTTTTTTCCCAATTACCCCCCAATTTCCCCTCTATTTTCCCTGATTTCCCCCCATTCTCCCTCAATTTTCCCCCAATTTTTCCCCGATTTCCCCCCAATTTTTCTCCCAATTTATCCCTGATTTCCTCCCAATTTCCTCCCAATTTTCTCCATTTTCCCCCAATGTCCCCCAATCTTTCCCCCCAGTTTTTCCCATTTCCCCCCTAATTTTCCTCTGATTCTCCCCCAATTTTCCCCTGATTTTCCCCCAGTTTCTTCTGATTCCCCCCAATTTCCCCCCAAATTTTCTCCCATTTTCCCCCTGATTTTCCCCAGTTTTCCTCCAATTTTCCCTGATTTCCCCCCATTCTCCCACAATATTTCCCTCCATTTTCCCTCCAATTTTCCCCCATTTTCCCCCCCACTCCCCCCCCC